CGGGGATCCCTCCTGGGGACGGGGAGAGGCTCGCCGAGCCCCGACTCCCGGGCACAGACCCTGGAAGAGCTGCGCCCTCGGATAGGATGGGCGGCAGCTGGGTGCTGTGGTTTTGGGGCTCTCTGCCCTGCTCCTGCGCCGCCTCGGGGTGCCCGGGGCAGGGACCCGAACCGGGAGAGTTTTGTTACTTGCATGTGGTTGAACAAAGCGCGCTGGAAGAAACGCTTCCCCGGTTTTCACCCCGGTTCCGCGGGGGCTGTGGCAGCGACGGTCTCGCAGGTGCCGCCTCAGCGGGGTTCGGCCTTTTCGGGATTTCTGCTGCTCCTCGTGGAGCCCCTCTCCCGCAGCTCCCCCCGAAGCGGCCTTTCCGAGCGCTGCCGGGAGCTTTCTCCCTTCCCCCAGGCCCAGACGGGTTCCCTCCGCCCGGGCTAATTCACGGCTGCAGTCATCCCGGCGTGTGGGACAGAGCCACGTTTCTCCCTGGCAGGGGCGGCATCGGAGAGCCCTGAAATCCGGGTCCGGATCCGATGAGGCCCCGGGGCTGCCGGAGACGGGGAGCTGCTCTCCCTGCGCGTAACGGGCTGATAATCCTCGGGGATTTTGTTTGGCGCTTTCAGATATGAAAACTGTTCGGTGGCGATTAGTTTCAGCAGAGGAAAACTTACGTAACGATGCCGACGCTCGGGTGGATTACAGCGTTTCGGCTATAAAAGCCGGCGAGGGGGGAGCTCGCCGGGCAGCAGTGGAGGGAAACACCGGAAAGATGCGAGAGCAGCGTGAAGAAACGGGCAGAAACGTGAACGGTTTCAGGTGAAAACGCCCTGCGAGGCTTCCGGCGTGAGGGCTGTGGGCTCCGCGGGGCCGGGGGGGGGCCCTGGAAGTGGAGAGGGGACAGATCTGTGCTTTAATCCATGGGTTTAATACCGGTGATTGGGGGTTTAATGCTTAATCTTTGATGCAGGTGGAGCCTGTGAGTTTCCTGATCCTCGCAAATCCCCGCGCTGGGATGAGAAACGCTGAGCTGAGCGCGGTGTAACCTCCGGCCGGCGGAGGCAGCCGGCGCCCCGAGCTGTGCCAAGGGGCTGCGCCGGGCTGTCGCTCCTGGTCGCACGTGCAGGTCCCTTAACTCCCGCCCCGCCGATGCCTTTGCCCGGGGATCCAGCGGTACTTCGGACGCGCACCTCTGCGTTTGTCTCCGGCTGAGAAGAGGTGTCCTCTCTCGAGGGCCGAAGGCGGCCGTGGCGGACCCTTCTCTTCCTCCAGACGCCTCGTGAATGATTAACCGGGTGGGGGAGAGCAGCTGGTTTGACGGGCGGGCTGTGTTTAGATAGTGCCTGCCTGAAATTTGGGGGGGGGGGGGGGGGGTTAACCTTTTCCCCGCTGACCACGCAG